ATTTTCCGTGGCCTCGAGTTCAAGGCCATGGCCTTGAGCTCAAGGCCATTACATTTGCCAATTTTCCAATTTTCCGTGGCCTTGAGTTCAAGGCCATGGCCTTGGGCTCAAGGCCATTACATTTTCCAATTTTAAAATTTCTACATAACAAGGTCATAGCCTTGAGCTCAAGGCCATATCCTTGAGCCATTTTCAAAATGTTCACATCACTCGATTAGTCATGGTCCTCGGTCATGGTCATGGTCAAGTTGTGTTTATATTTCGACTAACAACAATTAACCCGGGATTATTGAGTACCAGCCCAGCACGATACGCTAGCACCCAAACACACCATTCCTGATATGTTCAGAACGAATGTGTTAAATTTTACTAACGTTTGAAAATAATTTACAAAGTTACCTCACAAGAATTGAACACGGGACAACACGGTACTATTCCAACATGTTACGCACACGCCTAAACTTGCAATTTCTGATTTGTTCAGATCTGATGTGTGTGTTACGTTTTCGTTTAAAAAAGTCAACAAAGAAGTCATTCCCGAGCATAGATATTAACGTGGAAATTTTGCATAAACGAGATAGAAATACTTGTACAATTCTTTTCGTGCAAACCATTTATGATTGATAGAACCGCGCTTTATTTATTATTGTTTATACTAACAATAATGATTTATAATAAAGTTGCTCGATTCTAATTAATCGAAGCAATATCCCTTCAAACATGGATTCACACATTGAAATATGTGGTACTCGCCTCTGGTTTGCTTGTGCGCAAAAACGGATAGATATGGCCAAATAAATTATAAAGAAAACCCACATTCCTTGCTTATATCTTGGAGTAATCATTCTGACGTCAAAATGATTACTCCAAGCTTATATGCTTTAGAGTAGCTAAAACTAACTGCATTAGGAAAGGATATATTTGAGAGCATATGTGTACGCCGAAACGAGTTATTTGTAATAATAAAACATAATGAGAAGAGGTATCGTGTAGCACAGTAAAGTGTGAGGACAAGTTGGACGTACAGCGCTAGTTCTGATGTCTTTTATTGGATTTCACGTAATAAATCATAGGTAAATTTGGGCATGGAAATGTTGAATTTCTTGTGTTTCGAGCGAGTCATATTCCTCTATTATTATTCACTCCTGATATAATGCTAGAAAGGAGGCAATGCAATTGAACAAGCAGTCAATCTGACCAAACCGTTGTGCAGCGAAGTGTCATTAAATGCGAGAAACACCAAGCATTACTTTTCACGTCACTTTATTTTTGCATTCGAAATGCAGTGACAATACTTCACAAATAAATAGTTTAAAGGAAGTAAAAAACTGGAAACTGGAACTATCTTTCTCTCTTTCTCTCATAGTAAAGATAATAAATACCCTGCAGTGTCTACCCATCTGACATGTAGCGCCACCTATTAGCAGATAAAATAGACGTCCGTTTTAAAAATCGATGGCTTCCAAATAAATTGCAGCTGTTTAACGTGTTTTCACTGTTATCCTGCAGGTGGGTTAATATAAGTGTGTTCTCTGCGCGAGATAGGTTATAAACACACACACACTCTCGCTCCCCCATGTCTTGTAACAGTTTCCCTCCTCCTGTTTCTTTCAACCACCTAACATCGGTAGCGCCACTTGGAGAGGATTTAGGAATCTGGTTTGTTGGTTGGTTGAGTTAGAGAGAGGGGGTGTTATAGATGAGTATACCACAGTAACGTCCATTAGAGAGGGAGTCGGGATTAAATGAACCATTTCCAACGACAGCGGCAGCGCTGTACAAAGCCGCGCTATGACCGATGAACATACAATGAGCGAGTGGATCGGACCCGAAACTAAAAGCACTCAATCACGAACACCGATGATGACCCGCTGCAGGCGATGTACCGTACACCTACGGGCACCCATCTCTTTGTAAGCACCCATCAATCGATGTACCATACACCTACGGGCACCCATCTCTCACTCTAAGCACCCATCAATCGATGTACCATACACCTACGGGCACCCATCTCTCACTCTAAGCACATGCGTGCGTGCGTGCGTGCGTGCGTGCGTGCGTGTGTGCGTGCGTGCGTGCGTGCGCGCGCGTGTGTAGTTTTTAATAGATACTTGCGCACAGGTGTCTGTAGCAGACTGGAAACTCATCGGTGCAGAAATGACGAAGAGAAGCGACGGTATACTTGAGCAACATAATGAATGGACTGTTTGGTAACATTTCCGCGTGCATATTATACTCACACTCACATACACGTGCATGCACATCAGGAGTAAATAATCAGATATTTATGATGTATTCTTAGGCCTACTATATTATCAAAATATCATGAATTAATCTATTATTAATATATATGTGATATATTATTGATATGTGGATGTGTATGTACATGTGCGTGTGTATGTGCGTGTGTATGTGCGTGTGCGTGTGCGTATGTATGCTCGCGTACGCACACACGCGAACACGCGCTTGCAAACGTGCACCCATTCGCTCATATCACTCGTGCACATGTGACATGGCCCAGAACATCGATGCATGCATGTATAGAATATATATTAGTGGGAATATTAGATAGTATAATCTTTATGCTTTATAGTTTCGAAAACCAGAAAGAGTGGAATGCCCATCTCGCCGATAAGATTTCCAAATTGAAAGAATCCTTAAAAAATGAGAAGGACGGAAAGACTCTGTCTAACATGAATCTAGATTCCTTGTCTCCGGTTGAGCTGAGAAAATTCGAAAGAAACTTGGAACGGCAAAAAAGCGATCTAACAAGTAAGTGATCGATATGTGTGACTAATACATGAAAGCAATCGGTAATAATTTTATAATAGTATCCAAAGATTCGATAATAGACATACCTTAGTAGATGCAGGAGAAAGACCCTAGAAATCACAAGAATCGTGTGTTGCGTTAAAAATGAACATCGCAGGCGTTATGATTTATAATTTTTTTACAATGGTTACAATGTTAATACGTGTGCTTCACATACCTTTTTGGTTATATATATTTGTGGTTTATCCTTGATAGGTATTGAATTACACATTTTGTTTATATAAACATCGTTTGAAATTCAAGTAATGATGATTACTTCATTTAATTTAAATTTTAATCATTCGCTATTAATTATAAATTAGTGTTATAAGTTGGTGAATTATTTTGAGTTGATGCATTGATGGTAAATGCTTACTATATGACAAGTCAATTATCTTGAGTCGGTTAATTGAAGGCAAGTGCTTGCTCTCTCTCTCTCTCTCTCTCTCAACGGGCACCCATCTCTCACTCTAAGCACCCATCAATCGATGTACCATACACCTACGGGCACCCATCTCTCTCCGTAAGCATCCATCAATCCATGTGCCAACTCGGTCAACATTTCCGATTAGACCTAAGACATATTTCCAACAATAAATAAGGCGGGTAGGTATGAATCTCGACAGGCACACACCTACTCCAGACAGACCTTCCGCGTTCTTTCACACTCACACCTGCATCACGTTGTGCCGCGAGCATGTCTAAAGCTGTAAAGCAGTCGTCAAGCAAAGAATAACGATGAAGGAAACACCGGAAAGCTAAACATGTACTTAGCCACGAGCACACACCAAGAGCAACGCCATATAACTAGAGTCACTTGTACACGTACACGACCACCCATCGCGACCAAGATAGTCCATAATCTAGCGCCTAACACACACTCAGCTTTACCAACCAAAGTAACAGCCACCTTGCATCCTAACACACCCGATGCGAGCAGATACGACTGGCACTATGCGTTCCACAGCAGAACACCGTTAGCATAATACAGTCAACCCTCTACATAATTGTCGCTCAAGGAAAATACCAAAAAGTCTCCTTTATATAATTATCTTATTTCGAAGGTATCTCTTTTAGACAGCTGACCGTTCTGTAGGTGTAACCGCTAACACAGGTTTAACTGCATGCATCTACTGCTCCGTGGTAGCGTTGTGTCAACACCAGTCGTACCTTCACGCGTCTAGTAAAGCCCCGGGAACAACGGATCGTACGAAATTTTGTCGTGGTAGACCCTTAAAATATTTGTCGTGGCCAGATCTTGCAGCATGCTCGAAATGTATTTCGAGTGGTCACAAGGTCTACGACACATTAAAGATGGTCTGGCAATGGGGACGCGACAGAAAAAAAAAGATATGTCGTGGTTATGTCGTGGGTGTGTCGCAAGTCAGTACGTAAGTCAGTAGTAGGACATACTCACGACAACCAGAAGACATAGATACCACAAAAAATCGTGGAACAAAAAAAGCGCATGTTCAATTTTGCCTCATGACAGCAATTCGATGCCACGATGCTCAAAATTTCGTAGGACTGTCTTGCGACGACCCCCGATGACCCACGATTTGCCCAAATTTTCTGTCGTGTCGTGGCACAAATGCGTCGTGGGTTCGTTGTGACCGAGGCTTAAAGGTAGCACCCTACAGCGTGCTAGCTGCGTCCGCGCTCACAACATACACATGAACATATCTATAGTAGTGTAGCAGAACGATGCACGTTGCAACACTGCAATTATACACACAGTATAGACATGTACATGATATATACTGCATCATTAATCTGTTGGTTGGCAAAGCTTTGTGTTAGCAGACTACAACCACGACCGGATAACAACACCATTACAAGCATCCTTTCTAGCCAAGCACGCCGAGCCAGCGAAGACATAGACAACGGCATGAACAACCGCTGCATAAAAAACTTGTACCACATCTGCATCAGGTCTTCCTGAGTATTTTTCGAGGAGGGTCATTTTAACGTTTTTGTGATATATTGAGATCTAATCACGTGGGGAAGTGATGACGTTGACGAAAAGTCCATGCAAAGAATTAATTGTCAGTTTGATATTAAATGATGAGTGATCGGGACAAATGCTTTTGGAATCCTTAGTTTTCTACAACCTTGAGTGACCTTCACCATGCGGAGTGATTTATAAATGGCAATTAGCCAATACACCGAGTGTGCTAATCCTTGTTTTCTGTAATAGCATTTTCTTCTATCTCTGACTTCTTTTGCGTTCATTAACTAATTGAAATCATCTGGTGGTTATTTCGAATTGAATCAGTTAAAATAACAGCGTTTCACTTGTATCCACCTTACTGGAATCCATAGAAATCTGCTGGGAAATACAGCAGACGCTGATAAAACCTGGCATACGTCGACCTCCCGACACCGAATCGTGAAAACAAACGTGAATCACTCACTCGACAACAATCGACGGAAGGCCGCCAGAATTTACATAAATACTCAAGTCATCCCCGACTCTAGTAAGGTGCATCGCAGTGCGGGAAACGCTAGTTGCTGCGACTTTACACCACTGGCTATGCTATCGCTCGCTCGTTGGCTAGGCTATGACGCTCGGCACGCGCTAGTTGGTCTTGCCGCCACCGTTCTGAAAGATGGATGCCCAGGACGTGGATGGAACCTCCTGGAGGTTTGTGCCGCTGTTGCTCCAGATGCTGCGCAGGCCTGCGAATGAGAACGGATCGAAGCTGCTTCCCTGTAACAGAAAGAAAACCATCGTTAGAGAGAAAGCATCGTTAGAGAGAAGCCACCGTTAGAGAGAAACCATCGTTAGAGAGAAGCCACCGTTAGAGAGAAGCCATCGTTAGAGAGAAACCATCGTTAGAGAGAAGCCACCATTAGAGAGAAGCCATCGTTAGAAAGAAACCATCGTTAGAGAGAAGCCATCGTTAGAGAGAATCCATCGTTAGAGAGAATCCATCGTTAGAGAGAAACCATCGTTAGAGAGAAACCATCGTTAGAGAGAAACCATCGTTAGAGAGAAACCATCATTAGAGAGAATCCATCGTTAGAGAGAAAGCATCGTTAGAGAGAAGCCACCGTTAGAGAAAAGCCATCGTTAGAGAGAAACCATCGTTAGAGAGAATCCATCGTTAGAGAGAAGCCACCGTTAGAGAGAAGCCATCGTTAGAGAGAAGCCACTCTTAGAGAAAAGCACGTTACCGAGAGAAAACCACCGTTAGGAGAAATCCATCGTGTAGAGAGAAACCAATCGCTTAAAGAGAGAAAACCAGTCGTGTACCGAGAGAAACCATGCTTGAGAAACCGCGATGAACACACGCACCCGATGCACTAGGAGTAGACAGCGCACGACGCGCAAAACGCTACGCAACGCAGCACACACCATCCACACACACGCACACACACCACAACACAAACATACGACACACACACACATATCACGCACGACTCAACACAATGCACAAGACATGTACACCACAACGCACGCAACACTACACACAAGCACGTGCGCACACCACATACACACACACCACACACACAACACACACACACCACACACCACACACACACACACACACAACACACACACACACACACACACACCACACCACACACACACACACACACACACACACACACACACACACACACACACACCACATCACAGCACACACACACACACACGACACACACACACACCACACCACACCACACACAACACACACGCACACACACACAAGCATGTGTGCACACACACACGCGCGCGCACACACACGCACACAACACACGCACGCACGCTCACCTGCGCAGTCTCGTCCTTGCCACCGCCGGCCTCGCTGCTCATGCTCGCATGGCCGCGCGCTGCCGCCCCGCCAGCCTCTCCCCCCTGCATCCAGTCACCACCGAGCGACCACGCTCCCGTAGCCGGGGGCGTCGGCTCCCACACGGTGGCCGGGGAGTTCGGTGCCGTCCAGCGGTCGGTGGGGAAGGTGCTCTGCTGCGCGTTGTTGTCCCACAGGGTCTCCCTCACAGGCATCACCGGTGTGACGTTGAATCCAGGCCAGTCCTCTCCTACGATGTGTATAATAAGATATGTATAATAGCATACATAGCTTGTGTATATATATAATATATAGTATATTACACAATAGAACTGTTATTACTGTTTCTAACCTGTTAATTCAGGCCAGTCCTCACCTACGATGTGTAATAATAACACGAGTAAAATAACATATATAACGTGTATGTATGTATGTATATCTATATATATTATATAGTATATTATACAAGGTTATGTTAGTGGATTTATGTTATTTACACCGGTATAACATTGAATCCAGGCCAGTCCTCACCTACGATGTGTAATAATAACACGAGTAAAATAACATATATAACGTGTATATATATATATATATTATATAGTATATTATACAAGGTTATGTTAGTGTATTTATGTTATTTATACCGGTATAACATTGAATCCTGGCCAGTCCTCACCTACGATGTGTAATAATAACACGAGTAAAATAACATATATAACGTGTATATATATATATATATATAGTATATTATACAATAAAACTGTTATTACTGGTTTTAACTGATTAATAAAAAATGCATAATAATAAACAGATGGATAACTGGAAGCATATATGGTTTTACATATACGTATATTGTGAAGCTCTAACATAGAGAGAGAGAAATAAACAAACTGGAAGCATACATGGTTGGTTAGCTCTCTGCGCTTCGATACGACACACACACACACAAACCTTTCAGACCCTGCTGGTGGAAATGCTTCTCCAAGCGTTGACGTCTCTCCGCTAGTGAACGCTGCATCATCGATTCCTGTAACGGCCATTGCAGCGAGTATCCAAGCTCAGAACCACGACCACCTGTGTAGTAAGGACAGACAAATATAGTGCAAATATAACGACCACTGCAGCGAGTATCCAAGCTCAGAACCACGACCACCTGTGTAGTAAGGACAGACAAATATAGCGCAAATATAACGACCGCTGCAACGAGTATCCAAGCTCAGAACCACGACCACCTGTGTAGTAAGGACGGACAAATATAGCGCAAATATAACGACCACTGCAGCGAGTATCCAAGCTCAGAACCACGACCACCTGTGTAGTAAGGACAGACCAAATATACGCAAATATAAACGACCGCTTCAACGAGTATCAAGCCTCAGACCCTACGACCACCTCATGTTTTTCTTTTCGTCAGTAAGGACAGACAAATAAAGTGAAATATAAACGACCGCTGCAAAGACGAGTATCGCAAGCTCAGAACCGCAACCTTGTAGTAAGGACAGACAAAATATAGCGCCACAATATAACCGACCGCCTGCGCAACGAGTATCCCAAGCTCAGAACCACGGCACCTGTGTAGTAAGGACCAGACAAAAGTAAGCGCAAATATACGAGCCGCTGGCAACGGTATACCAAGCTCAGAACCCGACCACTGTGTAGTAAGGACAGACAAATATAGCGCGCAAATATAACCGACCGCTCAACGATATCACAACTCAGGAACCACGACACATGTGTTAGTCAAGCGACAGACAAATATAGCGCAAATATATACACCACTGCAGCGAGTATCAAAGCTCAGACACGACCACCTGTGTAGTAAGGAAGACATATATAGCGCAAATAGTAACGACCACTGCCAGGCGGAGTATTCAAGCTCGAGACCATGACTTCCTGCTGGTAGTAAGGACGACAATATAGCGCGCAATATCAACGACCGCTGCAGCGAAGTATCCAAGCTCAGACAACCCACGACCACCTGTGTAGTAAGGACAGGACAAATATAGCGCAAAATATAACGACCACTGCAGCGGGTATCGCAAGCTCAGAACCACGACCACCTGTGTAGTAAGGCGAAGACATATATAGCGCAAATATAACGACCGCTGCAGCGAGTATCCAAGCTCAGAACCACGACCACCTGTGTAGTAAGGACAGACAAATATAGCGCAAATATAACGACCGCTGCAACGAGTATCCAAGCTCAGAACCACGGACCACCTGTGTAGTAAGGACAGACAAATATAGCGCAAATATAACGGACCACTGCAGCCGAGTATCCAAGCTCAGAACCACGGACCACTGTGTAGTAAGGACAGACATATATAGCGCAAATTATAACGACCACTGCAGGCGAGTATCCAAGCTCAGAACCATGACCTCCTGTGTAGTAAAGACAGACAAATATAGCGCAAAATAACGACCACTGCAACGAGTATCCAAGCTCAGAACCACGACCTCCTGTGTAGTAAGGACGGACAAATATAGCGTAAATATAACGACCGCTGCAACGAGTATCAAGCTCAGAACCACGACCACTCTGTGTAGTAAGGACGACAAATATGCGCAATATATAACGACCACTGCAACGAGTATCCAAGCTCAGAACCACGACCTCCTGTGGTAGTAAGGACGGACAAATATAGCGCAAATATAACGACCACTGCAGCGAGTATCCAAGCTCAGATACCACGACCACCTGTGTAGTAAGGACAGACAAATATAGCGCAAATATAACAACCACTGCACGCGACGTATCCAAGCTCAAGAACACACGACCACCTGTGTAGTAAGGACGGACAAAATATAGCGCAAATATAACGACCACTGCGCAGCGAGTATCCAAGCTCAGAACCACGACCACCTGTGTAGTAAGGACGGACAAATATAGCGCAAATATAACGGACCACTGCAGAGAGTATCCAACTCGAGAACCACGACCACCTGTGTAGTAAGGACGGACAAATATAGCGCAAATATAACGACCACTGCAGCGAGTATCCAAGCTCAGAACCACGACCACCTGTGTAGTAAGGACGGACAAATATAGCGCAAATATAACGACCGCACTGCAAGAGAGTATCCAAGCCTCAGAACCGACGCACCACCTGTGTAGTAGGACGGACAAATATAGCGCAAATATAACGACCACTGCAGCGAGTATCCAAGCTCAGAACCACGACCACCTGTGTAGTAAGGACAGACAAATATAGCGTAAATATAACGACCACTGCAGCGAGTATCCAAGCTCAGAACACGACCACCTGTGTAGTAAGGACAGACATATATAGCGCAAATATAACGACCACTGGCAGCGAGTATCAAGCTCAGAACCACGACCCACGCTGTGTAGTCAAGGACGGACAAATATAGTGCAAGATATAGACGACCACTGCTAGCGAATATCCAAGCTCAGAACCACGACCACCTGTGTAGTAAGGGACAGACATATATAGTGCAAATATAACGACCACTGCCAGCGAGTATCAAGCTTAGAACCACGACCTCTGTGTAGTAAAGGGACAGACAAATATAGTGGAAAATATAACGACCACTTGCAGCGAGTATCCAAGCTCAGAACCACGACCAGCCTGTGTAGTAAGGACAGACAAAAATAGTGCAAATATAGCGAGTATCCAAGCTCAGAACCACGACCACCTGTGTAGTAAGGACAGACAAATATAACGACCACTGCAGCGAGTATCCAAGCTCAGAACCACGACCACCTGTGTAGTAAGGACGGACAAATATAGCGCAAATATAACGACCACTGCAGCGAGTATCCAAGCTCAGAACCACGGCACCTGTGTAGTAAGGACAGACAAATATAGCGTAATATAACGACCACTGCAGCGAGTATCCAAGCTCAGAACCACGACCACCTGTGTAGTAAGGACAGGACAAATATAGCGCAAAATATAACAGACCACTGCAGCGAGTATCCAAGCTCAGAACCACGACCACCTGGTGTAGTAAAGGACGGACAAATATAGCGCAAATATAAACGACCACTGCCAGGAGTATCCAAGCTCAGAACCACGACCACCTGTGTAGTCAAGGACGGACAAATATACGCAAATATAACGACCACTGCCAGCGGGTATCCAAGCTCAGAACACGACCACCTGTGTAGTAAGGACGGAACAAAATATAGTGAAAATATAACGACCCGCTGCAACGAGTATCCAAGCTCAGAACCACGCCCTCCTGTTGTAGTAAGGACGGAAACAAAATAGCGCAAACTTATAAGCGACCACTGCAAGCGAGTATCCAAGCTCAGAACCACGACCACCTGTTAGTAAGGACAGACAAACTATAGCGCAAACTATAACGACCACTGCAGCGAGTATCCAAGCTCAGAACCATGACCTCCTGTTTGTATAAGGACGGACAAATATAGTGAAAATATAATGACCACTGCAGCGAGTATCCAAGCTCAGAACCACGACCACCTTGGTAGTAAGGACAGACAAATATAGCGCAAATATTAAACGCACCACTGCAGCGAGTACCGCAAGCTCAGAACACGACCACCTGTGTAGTAAGGACGGACAAATATAGTGAAAATATAATGACCACTGCAGCGAGTATCAGCTCAGAACACGACCACCTGTGTAGTAAGACAGACAAATATAGCGCAAATATAACGACCACTCAGCGAGTACCCAAGCTCAGAACCACGACCACTGTGTAGTAAGGACGGACAAAATATAGTGAAAATATAACGACCACTGCAGCGAGTATCCAAGCTCAGAACCACGACCACCTGTGTAGTAAGGACAGACAAATATAGTGCAAATATAACGACCACTGCAGCGAGTATCCAAGCTCAGAACCACGACCACCTGTGTAGTAAGGACAGACAAATATAGTGAAAATATAACACATAGAACAAGTTCATGCACACGATCACCATATATAAACAGCCTTTCTTCCCCCACTTACGCACACACAAGTCACAGCTGTACGGCTGGCTACCTTTAGCTTACCACTGAACGACCTCTAACATGTAACGAACATAAAAATTAAATGTTTATGAAGATTTGGCTTTCAGGAAACGCCCCTATAATATATAGCCGTTAATTACCCAATAGCTTCTCTACTGGGTAGCTAGCTCCCTGTTTTATACTCCTCCACACTATATAATAAGAATAATAAAATAATGGATTGAATCCTATGTCACAGGTTGAGACACGGCCAAACAAAAGCATCGGCTAAGCCGTGATCCACTTTGGATATAATAATAATATCAATAACAATAACAACAGCAACAACAACAATAATAAATAGCAATGCATACCAGAGAAACCGAGGGAAACGTCGTTGCCAAAGTTCTGGTAGCGGGGGGCACTGCCCTCGACAATCGGCGGTAGAAAGAGACTGTTGTTTCGGAAATCCGGTGGGCTTTTGGGCAATGCGAGGGGACTGCTGTTATCTTCCCACACACTGGCGCTAGGCTTGTTCAGTTTCAGTGGCTTCGGCGTGCTAGACTTTGTTCCTATCGGTCCTGTTTCACACACAGAAGACAGAAGGGGGATGAAACAAAAGCGAACACGCGTCAATCAATGCGAACACTATTTAGTTTTGCATTTGTGTTTCTTTGAGGGTCGCAAAAAGCACTACTACTAAGCATTGTCTGGGGAATCTACTCTCTGCTATATGGGTGAGATTATTAGGTCTACGCCAGTGAAATCAATTCATTTCCAATGCAGGTGTCAGTTGAAGCAAATCAGGACAAATTAAGTGCCTTGCTCCAGTGCACAGCGGCAGTAGGAGAGACCTCAGCCAAAAGTTGACTAATCTGCTATATCAACAACTAGACCACCATTGCTTGCTTGTTTTTCCCCATGAATTTATTCATTTAAATAATAAATTATGATTACATAATTATTAATTTATATATATTATTAATATATAAATTTTCCACCTGTTAACTTTAATTAGTAATAATTACAGGGAATATACACCGGCAGCATACATACCGGGTAGCTTATCTCCGACGGCCCCTTTCCCTCGCTGCCAATCACCACCGCTGCTCACAACACTGCTGTAACTCGAAGAACGGGCAGCGCCACCTGGTGGGTCATGTGACGAGTGCTGGCTCCGCCCACCACCGCCGCCGCCGTGTCTCTGTTGCGCGAATGACTCAGTCTGTGTTGCCAGGTCGATGAATGCTTCGTCTGCACACACACACACACACACGGAAACGTCATCAGCATAAACGAAAACGTCATCAGCATAAACGAAAACGTCATCAGCATAAACAGAAACGTCATCAGCATAAACGAAAACGTCATCAGCATAAACAGAAATGTCATGAGTTAAATGGAAAGGTTTCAAATGGCATTATATTTCGACCGAAATTCCTTGCATCATGCGGCGGGCGGTGTCGTGAAGAGACGGGTAATAGTAGTGAAAACAAAACCGAAACACGGTCGAACGAAATGTAGAGGCAATCATAAAACATGTCATTCAACACTATGCTATTTCATGCACACTCGTTACTTCACTAATACTAACATTCAACCGTCGGCAATATCGTAATGATATCGGGTTTATTCGATACAATGATTTTCATACAAATTCAAGTAAAGAAACGTCACACACTACTTCAAAACATCCACACACGCACACGCACACGCACACGCACACGCACACGCACACACACACACAAGTACACGCAGATCAAGTAACAGCGTCTTGGTTGCAGCTAATGCATATAACTTAACCACTTAGCGAAAGAAAAATTATGGTGCCTAACCAGTGTTGTGGGCAAAGCGCGGCGGCATGTCCCAAATGATAGGTGGCGACTCCTTGCCATGCTCAGAGGAACTACTAGATGCTGGACTGACTGTGTGTAGCCGGCGCGAAAACGCTGCCAACACAAACAACAACAAACCATGCAAGACACTAGCAGGCACACACATATAGAGTAATCAGGAAAGCAAACCATCTTCCACAGAAACATTCAAGCATAAATTTCGATCTCGATAGACGATCTAACAATATGGTGGAAGAACATAAATCGGAAGGAACATCGCAAAACTGACTGTCATTTAAAACAGTGATTCACTATTTGTTCGAAATAAATTACTACTGACTAATAAGGTTTCAATTTATTATCCTATATAGTATATAGTTTATATAATTAATTTTATTAGATACTTCATCTTATATTTATTTTCTTTAATTAGACTTCTTTAATTATTTTCTTTTATGAGTATTAGACTTGCAGACAGCCTGTTTAGAACACATATTATCCCAGCGTTAGCAGAAGCATTTCATACATAGACGATGTAATCTTAAACATTAATTACGTGTAATCAGTTAATTAATATCCTCAAACCCTATACGTGTCACATCAGGCCCACAGTACATACTGATAGGAGTGTACACAGTACATCAGTGCAAACAATGTGTGGATTTCCATACTCCTACTTCCTCTGACAACACAGACTGCAATAACTACGGCATGCATTCAAATTAACATCCACATAATCACTGAATGCAAACAGACTAAAGAAACGATAGATTTCTAAACAACACCACACTATAGTCTCGTTGTCTTCCTCATTTAAAGAACGTCCATGCAGACTCACTTGAGTTTTTGTTGTTGTTGTGGTTAGACTTCTTCCGGGGCATTCGAGTGGTTGTGAAATCGCATTCCTTGTTCTTGTCCGTCTTGTTGGATTGATCGGGTGTGCTAATACAAAAACAAATCCTTCTAATTTAATATAAAGAATAGCATTTTCGAATACAACGCAAGATAAATAATATGATATATATTTAGGATAATTAGTACCATGAAATGAAAAGGACTTCACTATTTAATAAGCGGACGAAAGTTAAGCAATAATAATTAGAATTATATATTGACCATTCTCAATAATAAAAAATAAAAAATATTTGGATCTATAAAGACCAGCACTATGACTAGGAATCGCATCAGATGCACGATGATTAATACGCATGGCGATAATAATTTTATTTTATATTGACACCTACAAATTACGTCTGTTTCACCATTTAGCAACATTTTCACCACAAACATGAAAATCGAACACACCTCGAATTCAACCTGAAGGTGAAATTGCTTCTAATATTATCACGAAATCAGATGAACTCATTCTAAGATTCATATTAACCTTGGTTTTGTAATGTCACTGCCAAATGCCTTGTTGGAATCGCTCTTTGCCTTTCTATGCATCTTAGCCTTCGAACTCATTAGTTCAAAATCATCATCGATGGAGGTTGTCCCGACTGTGGGGACCTTTCCCTGACGACCCTTCCCCTTGTGCTTCTTATTGTTGGTTTTGTGTCCATTGTTATTGTCTGGTGTTAAGTCTCTTGTGGTCGTAACCTGTGGATGACACAGCAGAAGCGCACGCATCAGTACACACAAAGCACCGTGGATACGCACAATAAAAACACCTTTGAGAGAAGGTATTCGTTTTTTCGAGAAAGCAAGAATTTAGCAGAACCTAATGGGAGAACTAAAACCCGAAAATAGTCGTTAACAACTAACACTATTAGTACACACAAAGCACCGTGGATACGCACAATAACTAGACCGACGAACGAAATGAATTAGAGCTGTTTCCCGATCCGCATAGTTTAGCTATTAGCTAAATTAACAATACTAATGAATCTGATACTAATTAAATTGTATTAATTAATCTACATTGCACACCTTGTCGCTGATCTCGGAATCCGGTGACGAGCATTCGGTGGTCGTTGACGAAGTATCCGACTCCTCCAGGTGGCGTGGCAATCGCTTTTCAGCTTTACCTGTATAAATAAAAACAAAAGGTCACGTGAAGACGCGCGTTTATCGATGCTAATAATCTTTCGCTTTTCTATCTCACATATGGACATGACGGTTGAAGCTTGATCAGTGTTACTAACCTTTCCCTCTCTTTTCTATCTCACATATGGTTGGAGAACAATATGTGCTCTGCATATCATGATAAATAATCGTGATGAATAAGCAATGGAGTGACAATGACCGCCGCGCACATAACTGCACGCGCAAACATCGCATGTCACCATAATTAATTCAAAATTCAAAATAAATGAGACACCGGCTATGCGCGCACCTGTCGCTAGCGGCGCTGATCGTCAACTCGGTTACTCAGCAACCCGCAAGTAGTCAGGCGAAATGGGAAATGGCGTTTTCCGCATCTTCCTTTAGATTCTAGAATGTTCTCAATCGTTCACGAGGAGAATATGAAGTTAATAACACTTTCATGCCGCCTATAGCGCAATAGCGGTAATGGGGGCGGGTGGGGTTATAACCAGTTTATACAATGCACCAGTACAAGGGCACGGTTCGAACATTTCATCATCTGTAAATCACTTCTAAGGAATATCTACATTGGGCAGCCCACCTTCTAAACTCATGTTATAGTAAGCGTGCATAGAGCTACAAACGTGGCAGTTTTGATGCTATTTGTCAGCTCTGTAACGATCATGAAAGCTAAGGCACACTGAACTAAAGTGTTTTACAATCACAATTGCATTGAAGTAATCGATTGACGATCAGCCCCGCGCTGTGACCCGGAATTAGTTCCGCGGTACCCCCATTACTGTTAATTTGTTTAAGCCAAAATCACCAGCAATGACTAATGGTAATGTGCTCACCAGCTCATGCTCTCTCTTTCACGATGGATGTAGCTACTGTTTGAGATACAATTAATACGACATACATAATAAAGCAGATTT